CGAAACAACAACTGTGCACCAGAATGAACGCACATGGGGAATCTGTTAAAGACAAGAATGCCCAATTACGTGTGGGGCACATTTCTCACAAGAAACCCGCTCTGTCTCCAGTCTCTCAGTTCTAATCCTCAAAGGGAATTCACAAAATGCTTTTCACAGATGAGCCTATGAACTTCACTTCATCAACATCCTGGATATAAAAAATCATGGACTAAATATAGACATTGGATTTATGACATGTTATGACCTGCCTACCATCCGACTCCCCAGGTACCTCCACTATTTACCTGCTCTATTCATCTCCCTCCCCCCAGCCTGTCTCTCACCCACTGACTCCTCAATTTACATCTTCACTGACTGGCTTTCTTGCATGCAGCCCAGCCTCTGGCCTCTTTACTATTCATTCTATCCAAGAAGAGCACACGCCTCCTGCAGAAACTTCCTCAGCCTGATGCAGGGAGTTTAAACCTAAAAGCTTGCTAAGAAATTTTTTCCTAACTATTTAGTTGGTCTAATGAAAGCCATCAGATTCACCCAAAGAACCTTGTCTGCCTATGTCCTTAGACCAATACGACTACAACCTATACCCCCACCAGCATGTACACATACAGGCGCATGCTTTCTACTCTCACTCTCTGCATGTAGACACAGGCTCCCTATGCACACACACACCTACCCACACAGACAAACCCACCAACGCACAGACAGACCCCCCCTGACACAGAAACAGCCCTCTGCCCTCTTCCCTCATGCCCCATCCCCCAGCCGCCTGCAGCTCAGTTTCACTCTCTGCCCAGCCATGAGGCTGAAGTTGGTTGCTTATTCCCAGTTCCTTATTCCCAGTTGCTTATTCCTTATTCCCGGTAAGCAACCAACTTCAGTCTCGTTGCCCGGCCCCTGTTACACTTAGGTGCAGGGAGCTTCTGCCTGGCTGTCCCTGGCAGCTGCAGAGGGCCAAGTGGGGCTGGGCTGGGCTGGGCCGGGAACGCCGAACTGTGTCTCTGTGGGCGGGGTGGATGCAGGTGGAGGAGAGGCCCCGCTTCCAGTTCCCAAGGAAGTCCCAGTTTTAAACTTGGTGCCAGAAATGGGTACTGAGTTTAAAACTGGCTTTCACTTCCCTGCTGATGAGGATCCCGGGGCCCTGAATTGGTAGGGGGCCCCTGGGCTCGTGCCCAGCTTGCCCATTCGTTAATCCGCCTATGACAGAGCCATGTCATCTGGCCTGCAGAACTTCCTGTGGGTCTGAAAATTTAGCACCAGTGGAGCAGTGGCAGTGTTAATTGACTCTTCCTTCCTGCCAAATTTCTAGACCCGTGGGGAACCCTGTGGGTAAGACAGGGTGCTTGGGGCCTTAGCCAGGCATGGCAGGGTGGGATTCAGGCACCAACCCCATAAATCCTGCCTGTGGACCATCATGATTATTCTAAATGAGTAAGCAGCTCATTGCTTGAAGCTACTTTGGTCAACAGGCCATCTTTTGCCAGCTTGTACCCTTTTTCTACAGGTCGTACTTGCATTATGAATGCAGCAATGCTGCAGCCAGACAAACCAGAGGGCTGGAAGATCCCATTCAGTAAGACGGCAGGAGGATGTGGAGCTGCAATGCGGTCCATGTGCATTGGGCTGAGGTTCCATCGTCCTGAGCAGCTGGACAGATTGATTGAAGTCAGCATTGAGAGTGGACGAATGACCCATCATCATCCAACTGGCTATCTGGGATCCCTGGTTTCTGCTCTCTTTACTGCCTATGCTGTGAATCGCAAACCCGTTCAACAATGGGGAAAGGGGCTGATGGAAGTGCTGCCAAAGGCTAAAGCTTACGTCCAGAATGCAGGTTACTTTGTGGAAGAGAACATGGAGCACTGGTGAGTGTGCTTGTGTTGAGATTACGCGAAACCACGGGCCCCAGAATGTCTAAGTATTGCTTTCTCCAGACTGTCAAATATAGGACATTCAGTAGTATAGGTAACAGGGTCTGAACCCTGTTCTTTGGAAGGGATCCATTTCATGGAGCTGGACAAAGTATGTTTGCACATTACATCCATGCTCACCTTAAAGTCTTTTTACATGCCTGGAATGAGGGTAGATGAATTACATCCTTCTGGAAATTGGAAACATATAGAGGTTTTAATTTCAATCTAGTTTTAAAAAATAAAGCTGGGCAGTTTCAATTTGTCAATTTTAAACAACCTATTTAAAGGTGTAATTTTAATCTTGAAGCTCTAGAAAAAGTTAGACCACTGAAGGAAGTCACTAAAAACCTAGAACCATGGTTTGTTGATGTAACAAACCAGCTTTTGGCTGCTGTAGTCTCTTCTGAAGGTAGAGAGAGAATATTTCCTTTTTAGAAACAAAGTGGGAGTTTCATAGCAGAAAAATGAACCTTTTGACTTTCTAATCCAAGGCTGTCTTACTTGAGGTGGTGTGTGCACCCACAGCCACATACTGTGCAGTCCACACACAGCAGGCCGGCACCTTCGGGTCCTTGCAAGTTCCACAGTAGCGAGCGCTTTCAACTGCCTGGGCTGCCCTGCTATAACCCTGGGGCAGGGGCAGGCAGTGAAAATTGGAGGGGGGAAGGGGAGCCCAGAGATCCTGGCAGCAGCAGGAGAGTGATGTGGGGAGTGGTGTGTGAAGCCCAGGCCGTGGTTAACCCCATGGGAGCTGCCAGTTGGACAGCCCTGCTCTAATCTATTAATTTAAATATCAGGTGAAAGGGGCTGAGATCTATTAGTTGTAAGATCTCAAAGGACCTGTAGGCCAAACCAGTCGGTGCTAAAATCTTTCTAGCCTTTTCCACCTTTCCTTATATAGCTTGCATTCCCAACCCACGACTCTCTGTTGCCCTGCTTTGAGTCCTCTCCAGTCTGTCCACATCCTTCTTAAAACATGGGGACCAAAATTGGATAAACTATTCCAGCTGGGAACTGACAAATGCAAAGTAGAGTGGGTGCTTTCATTTCAAATGCCTTGCGTGTGATGCTTCTGTAAACACAACCCAAGATGACATTTGCTTGCTTTCACTTGCTGGAAGGGCAGAGGCTATTGTAAGTGAGAAGGGGATTATACTTTAGACCTTTAAAGAGGTGTTTTGTTTTGTTTTGTTTTGTTTTGTTTTTTGAATTTTTCAGAGAGATGTGGAAGTGGATGTTGGGGGGAACTTTTTTTTTTTCAAACTGGTTCACTTCATGTAGGCTTAATAACTTAGAAGCCTCCTCAGCTGGATGGATGTTGATTGATACTGAGTACCAGAAGTGACAAGTGAATATGTTCCTAAATAAGAAAGTACTGTGTGTGGAGTCATTTCATTAGCCATTCAGATGACTGCCAGTGGGTTGTAAAGAAAATAGTGTGACGTTTTCAGGATGTGTGAACAAATTTTTAAGGCTAATAATTATTCATGTGATTCACTCAATGTATGCACATCTACTTTCCAGAAAAAGATACCAGAACTTTCTGTGGCCACTCGCACAAAAGGCAAATAGTGGAGCGGGGGACTTCAATTAGGCTGTATACTGGCAGCACATTGGTTCATTCATAAGCAATTCAGGTGAAGGCAAAGGAGGCTGTAATTCAATGTAATCAGCTACAATTAATAATGTGATCAGCTTTAGCTCTAACTTCTTTCATTAATAAGTTCCAGAGCTCTGGTGAAACCAGACCATGACCAAGAGGCTAATTTATTTTTAGAGGTGGACCTGAGCCAGCAAGTTCAGACAGATTTTGAAGGGCTCTGGGTTTCCAGCTATCAATATATTTCTATCCCTCTTCCTATCCTTAGCATGTTGGCATTTGTGGACTACAACACTGCGCTCTGGATCCTGTTTTGGATTCTGAATCCTCTCTCAAGCACACCCATGTGTGCATAGTGGTGATCTGAATTCAGGATCATGGGTCCAGTCCAGTCCAGTCTACTTACTTCTGATGCTGTGAATTCCTTGTAATGCAATGGCTTATTTAAGTCTATTGGTGCACCATTGTCCTCTTCTGGGCACCCCCGCCCCCAATCTACTTCTGTGCTTCTCATTAGTAGTTCTCTCTTCATTCCCTTACCATCATACTGATGATTTTTCCTTAAAGTGACATAAACTATAAAAGGCTTAGACTCTTCAGTTTGGAAAGGAGAAGGCTGAGGAAGGATATGATAGAGGTATATCAAATTATGAAGGGTGTGCACAGGGTGAATAGGGAACTCATATTCCCTATTCACTGATGCACATTAACTGTGCAATACTTAAAAAAGTAATTTATCTTTTTTACTTTTAAACCTGTCTCCTACTGCTAATTTCAGTGGTAGTAGGAGACGGATTTAAAACTAACAAGAGAAATTATTTTTTTAAGCACTGCATAGTTAATGTGTGGAACTCCTTGCTACAGGAGGCTGTGGAGGTAGACAGTATAGCCAGTTTCTAAAAAGGACTAGATAAATTCATGTTTGGCAGCTATTAAACACAACACTTGGGGATGACATCCTTTGGCACCTCTAAACCAATGATGATGGATGCCAGGAAGAATATAACAAGGGACAGATCTCTCTTCATATATCCTATTCACATACTGTCCTTCTAAAACATCTACTCATGCCACTGTCAGACACAGGCTGCTGAGCTAAAGAACCATTGTTGTGACCCAATATGGCACTGTTATGTTCTATGACTGGATAGAGGTTTGGCATTTGGTTGAGATGGTGGTCCCAGTGCTCCTCACTATGTTTCTAGCTGATACTGTATTTATCATGTCAGTGTTGGCTCCTGCTGTACTGACATTCTGCTTACATCATTTCCTTTTATTTTTCTGGTTTATAGGTCCTATTTTGAAGAGCAGTGGAAAAAATACCTGAAGATAAGGGGCATTTTGGATGGGGTATCTTCTCCTACCTTCCCAAAAGCATATGGTGTGAAGGAGAGAGATATATTTTATACCTCCGTGAGTTACTCCGGTTGGGGAGGCAGCAGTGGACACGATGCCCCAATGATTGCTTATGATGCCATTCTTGGTGCAGGTAACTCCTGGACAGAGCTTGCCCACAGGGCCTTTTTCCATGGTGGTGACAGTGACTCTACAGCTGCCATTGCTGCATGCTGGTGGGGAGCCATGTATGGCCTTGAAGGAGTCAGTGTAAATCTTTATAGACAGCTGGAGTTCAAAGAGAGGCTAGAGACTGTAGCAGAGTCTTTGTATCAAATAAGTTGGCCATAAAAAGGTGATGACTCTTGAAATCACTTCTCAAACTAGTTTCAGCCCGTGCAAGTATGTGTATGAGCTTCTTGTGCTTTTTCAATTAATGCTGGGGTTTTTGTACTACACATTAAGGCAACCTGGCATAGCAGCTATCTTTTTGGCTTCCTGACACCACTAGCAGAAATGCAGTTCTAGAATAATCAAAGCATGGACAGTTGGGCTAAGACTTTGTAAGCAACGGTTAGCATAGCTGATGCTAGGTTGATTTAAGGACACTAACAGATGTTCAGCTCCCTGCTGTAACTCATGGCACTTTACAGAAAGCCCCATGAGTTACAGTGGCCCCTCCACACCCCAACAGACATTTCCTGTTAGTCTGGAAGAGGGCCAACGTGGTTCTTCAAAAAGGGGAAGAAGGAGGACCCGGGAAACTATAAGCCAGTTAGTCTTACCTTGATCCTAGGCAAGCTATTTGAGAAAATTATTCTGGCACACATCCATGAGGGGCCAGCAGGGGACTGCATGCTTAGGGGCAATCAACACGGGTTCATCAGTGGCAGGTCCTGTCAGACCAACCTGGTGGCCTTTTATGATCAGATCACCAGATCATTAGATGCAGGGGTAGCA